ACTCTCTCTCCTATTGAGAGGGTCATGAATTTAAGTTCCACCCTCTGACATAAACACACTGACCCTAACCCCAACACAAACATCAACAGAGTCAACCATTCAGGGGGTTATACATTGTGGTCGCACTCAGACACAAAGGCATACAAACAGAAGTGGGGAAACTGGATAGATGTGTCGAGAATGGATGGATCAGCAGCACTGTGTGTTGTTGAGCAAGCGTCGTTGGAAAGAGCTTCTCTTATTGGCTCTCTGCTTTATCCTATTGGCTCTCTGCTTTATTCTATTGAGAAGCCTCTCTTTGGGATGTGTTGTACATGTATCGCTTATGGGGAAATATCACATCCTGACATACACTAACCTTGTTCTGTATAGAGAAGTGTATTCGTACAATGGTGGAACAAGCTCCCTCACGACGCCAGGACAGCGGAGTCACTCACCACCTTCCGGAGACACTTGAAACCCCACCTCTTTAAGGAATACCTGGGATAGGATAAAAGTAATCCTTCTACCCTCCCCCTACCCCACCCCCCAAAAAATAAAAAAATAAAAAATTATATATATATTGTAAAGTGGTTGTCCCACTGGCTATCATAAGGTGAATTCACCAATTTGTAAGTCGCTCTGGATAAGAGCGTCTGCTAAATGACGAAAATGTAAATGTAAATCTAAAATGTAAATGTACAGCGAAACAACCAGTGCTTCAACCAGTGATAGCATGTATTTCGTGACCCATTGACCAAGCAAGAAAAGACACACAAACTCACATACAGTACACGCCCATGCTACCAACTAATGCACAAACACATCCCGCATCCTCCAACTTCTTCAAAGAGAATACCAAAATATGGTTTCTTCAATCCCAACACTTTGAAGCATCGAGGTCTTCACAACCATTATTCAACTCTAGCATGAATAATCCCATTCTGAATTAACTAACCTTGATCACATGCTAGCTGTAGTGTGCTGGCGCTCTAGACAAGATTTCACATGCTCTTTATCTCGCCATCTATGATGGATCCGGAAGCCTCAGGAACACTATGGCACTACTTTACATCTTTGTGACAGAAACCAGAGACAGGATAACACCCCAGTTAGCACTTTACATCCCCGTCATACTCATCTCAATCCAGAACCCATTCAGATTAGTTCAGTAAAATGATAATGCTCCGTCCATCGCCCATGAAGATTAGTCATCACACTGATAATCCCAAATCAAAGCCCAATTGTGTAAACATTATTTATCGGTTATCGGGTGGCGATATACAGTACCAGTCAAAAGTTTGGACACACCTACTCATTCAAGGGTTTTTCTTTATTTTTACTATTTTCTACATTGTAGAATAATAGTTAAGACATCAAAACTATGAAATAACACGTATGGAATCATGTACAGTTGAAGTCGGAAGTTTACATACACTTAGGTTGGAGTCATTAAAACTCGTTTTTCAACCACTCCACAAATTTCTTGTTAACAAACTATAGTTTTGGCAAGTCGGTTAGGACATCTACTTTGTGCATGACACAAGTAATTTTTCCAACAATTGTTTACAGACAGATTATTTCACTTATAATTCACTGTATCACAATTCCAGTGGGTCAGAAGTTTACATACACTAAATTGACTGTGCCTTTAAACAGCTTGGAAAATTCCAGAAAATGATGTCATGGCTTTAGAAGCTTCTGATAGGCTAATTGACATAATTTGAGTCAATTGGAGGTGTATCTGTGGATGTATTTCAAGGCCTACCTTCATACTCAGTGCCTCTTTGCTTGGCATCATGGGAAAATCAAAAGAAATCAGCCAAGACCTCAGAAAAATAATTGTAGACCTCCACAAGTCTGGTTCATCCTTGGGAGCAATTTCCAAACACCTGAAGGTACCACGTTCATCTGTACAAACAATAGTACGCAAGTATAAACACCAAGGGACCACGCAGCCGTCATACCGCTCAGTAAGGAGACGCGTTGTGTCTCCTAGAGATGAACGTACTTTGGTGCGAAAGTGCAAATCAATCCCAGAACAACAGCAAAGGACCTTGTGAAGATGCTGGAGGAAACAGGTACAAAAGTATCTATATCCACAGTAAAACGACTCCTATATCGACATAACCTGAAAGGCCGCTCAGCAAGGAAGAAGCCACTGCTCCAAAACTGCCATAAAAAGCCAGACTACGGTTTGCAACTGCACATGGGGACGAAGATCGAACTTTTTGGAAAAATGTCCTCTGGTCTGATGAAACAAAAATATAACTGTTTGGCCATAATGACCATCTTTATGTTTGGTGGAAAAAGGGGGTTGCTTGCAAGCCGAAGAACACCATCCCAACCGTGAAGCACGGGGGTGGCAGCTTCATGCTGTGGGGTGCTTTGTTGCAGGAGGGACTGGTGCACTTCACAAAATAGATGGCATCATGAGGAAGGAAAATTATGTGGATATATTGAAGCAACATCTCAAGACATCAGTCAGGAAGTTAAAGCTTGGTCGCAAATGGGTCTTCCAAATGGACAATGACCACAAGCATACTTCCAAAGTTGTGGCAAAATGGCTTAAGGACAACAAAGTAAAGGTATTGGAGTGGCCATCACAAAGCCCTGACATCAATCCTATAGAAAATGTGTGGGCAGAACTGAAAAAGCGTGTGCGACCAAGGAGGCCTACAAACCTGACTCAGTTACACCAGCTCTGTCAGGAGGAATGGGCCAAAATTCACCCAACTTATTGTGGGAAGCTTATGGAAGGCTACCCGAAATATTTGACCCAAGTTAAACAATTTAAAGGCAATGCTACCAAATACTAATTGAGTGTTTAAACTTCTGACCCACTGGGAATGTGATGAAAGAAATAAAAGCTGAAATAAGTAATTCTCTCTACTATTATTCTGACATTTCACATTCTTAAAATAAAGTGGTGATCCTAACTGACCTAAGACAGGGAATATTTACTAGGATTAAATGTCAGGAATTGTGAAAAACTGAGATGAAATGTATTTGGCTAAGGTGTATGTAAACTTCAGACTTCAACTGTAGCAACCCAAAAAAGTGTTAAACAAATCAAAATATATTTTATATTTGAGATTCTTCAAATAGCCACCCTTTGCCTTGATGACAGCTTTGCACACTCTGGGCATTCTCTCAAACAGCTTCACCTGGAATGCTTTTCCAACAGTTCCCACATATGCTGAGCACTTGTTGGCTGCTTTTCCTTCACTCTGCCGTCCGACTCATCCCAAACCATCTCAATTGGGTTGAGGTCGGGGGATTGTGGAGGCCAGGTCATCTGATGCAGCACTCCATGACTCTCCTTCTTGGTCAAATAGCCCTTACACAGCCTGGAGGTGTGTTGGGTCATTGTCCTGTTGAAAAACAAATGATAGTCCCACTAAGCCCAAACCAGATGGGATGGCGTATCGCTGCAGAATGCTGTGGTAGCCATTCTGGTTAAATATGCCTTGAATTCTAAATAAATCACAGACAGTGTCACCAGCAAAGCACCCCCACACCATAACACCTCCTCCTCCATGCTTTACATTGGGAACTACACATGCGAAGATCATCTGTTCACCCACACCGCGTCTCACAAAGACACAGCGGTCGAAACCAAAAATCTCAAATTTGGACTCAAATTTGGTCTAATGTCCATTGCCCCTCTGAACAGTTGATGTTGAGATGTGTCTGTGACTTGAACTCTGTGAAGCATTTATTTGATCTGAAGTTTCTGAGGCTGGTAACTCTAATGAACTTATCTTCTGCAGCAGAGGTGACTCTTCCATTCCTGTGGCGGTCCTCATGAGAGCCAGTTTCATCATAGCGCTTGATGGTTTTTGCAACTGCACTTGAATAAACTTTCAAAGTTCTTGAAATGTTCCGTATTGACTGACCTTCATGTCTTAAAGTAATGATGGACTGTCGTTTCTCTTTGTGTATTTGAGCTGTTCTTGCCATAATATGGACTTAGACAAATAGGGCTATCTTCTGTATACCACCCCTACCTTGTCACAACACAACTGATTGGCTCAAACGCATTAAGAAGGAAAGAAATTCCACAAATTAACATTTAAGAAAGCACACCTGTCAATTGAAATGTATTCCAGGTGACTACCTCATGAAGCTGGTTGAGAGAATTCCAAGAGTGTGCAAAGCTGTCATCAAGGCCAAGGGTGGCTATTTGAAGAATCTCAAATATAAACTATATTTATTTGTTTAATACTTTTTTGGTTACTACATGATTCCATATGTGTTATTTCATAGTTTTGATGTCTTCACTATTATTCTACAATGTAAAAAATAGTAAAAATAAAGAAAAACCCTTGAATGAGTAGGTGTGTCCAAACTTTTGACTGGTAGTGTATGTGCTAATAGATAAGTAATGTATGCTTTTATGGTATCTAGTTCATGTTAAATCATTACCGAGATATCAGCATCTGTAAAATGGCACCTTGGGAAACCAGTATACAGTATTCCTCGGTCATTGATTGTGGCCTGAGGGAGGAAAAACAGTGAAGAGAAAAGACACTGGGATCAATAAAGCCCACACAAGATCGATATTAGGCCACAATGTTTATTCAGTAGTGTTGTTTCAACGCATAGGTACAATACTGTCTGCTTTTGTAAGACAAAAAAAAAATGCCAGTCATTATCATCATCCCCCTGGTGTAATGTACGCATCTCCTTATTCTCTCCAAGAGAGCAAGTACATTTCCAAATGTTAGGCACTTTGAAGGTTTAAAACATTGGTGAATATACATTTGTATATATAATATATATTTTCATATACTAATACGCAATTGGAATCAATGGTCAGGTCTCTAATAGAATAACAATATTTAAAAAAACAAAGAAATAAATGTGGCCATAATGGGAATATGTATAGTGATTGTGAGTCTTTGGGTTTTGTTTATGCAGTTCAGTACCTTCCTTTCTATGATAAGCTGAGAGAGAGAGAGAGAGAGAGAGAGAGAGAGAGAGAGAGAGAGAGAGAGAAGAGAGAGAGAGAGAGAGAGAGAGAGAGAGAGAGAGAGAGATTGTAGGTAGAGGGCAGGAGCTGGAGGGTATAGCAGAGTGGGGAGGGAGGAGGAGGAGGAAGGGATGCATGGAGGAGGATGGCCTCAGATGGGTGGTAGGAGTTCAGATGACAACCTCTACTTCACATTACTGTACAGCTCAACATCTCAAAGGCAACTTCACAACCTGTTGTACCTTTCTCCTCACTGCAGGTTCATGCAGAGGTGACCGTTTCAATGAGAAAGGGTGACAACAACAGGTCAATCAAAGGATGTATTGTTCCTGGTATATGTTTTGTTCTTGGTAACCAACCTCACACTGTCTGATAATCGCTCTCAGGAGAGCTCCTCCCCACGAAACGGAGGAAGGTGTAATCTACAATTTTGCAGGACAGCAACTACGTTATGTTTTGGGTTAGCTCAAATCGAAATGGATTGACTGACCACAACACTTGAAACCTTAGAAAAAGGATCCAAAGTTCCATTTCACTCTAACGACAGGTTCTGAATCACTAGGAACAGCCCTGTGATCCGCACAGAGCTGACTCGTTTCAATTGGCAGCTGGTGCGTGTCCAGTTGCACATAGAAAGAAAGGATCTCCTGACTAAACCATCGACACGGGAGACAAAAACACTGGGCGCGCTGGCAACACAGTGGAGTGAGAAAAAGGGGAGGGGCCGACAGGTCCACTGGCGCTGGTCCAATTTGATTACCATGAGGAGATGGAGAGAGTGCTGGGGAAGAGAGGGGGGAGGTGGGACAGGCAACGTAAACTAGGGGGAAACATTGGGGGTTGCAGGGCAATGCCACTGAGCCAAATTTAACCCCAAACATACTAAACACTCAGAGCTGAACGAGACCAGCAGAGGAGAAATGCAGTGAATGTGCAATATGAAAAGTCGTATGCAATTAAATAAAATAATCATCCACAAGACATACTGTAAAGTAGGTCTTGTATCTTTTTCTTGAACCCCTGACACATCTTAGCTTTTTAAGACCAATTCCCAATTATAAACATGTATGCTGTATAAGAAATGGTTTTGACCAAGAGATACATCGAAAGAAAACAAACAAGACAAACAAAAATTAAATTAAATGCTCACTTTCCACTAGATTGGTGTGAGAGCAAAAAATAAACATTGTAACCTGAAGGGAGAACATTTACATTGACCGTTATCAGCGTTAATATGAAGACTAAATAACTTCATGAAAACTACAAAGGCATTTTTTTTTTACATCGGAGAAAAAAAAGATAAATTAATGAAATACACCTTTTTGAGATCAATGTCAGACATGCTAGGACAAAAATGAAAAAAAATATGAAAGTAGGATTGATACAGAATAATTATATTCAATTATTTCCACTTTTAAAAATGTTCTTTACAAATACATACTGCTACAGTTAAAAAGTAGTCAGCGACTAAAAACGGCTGCTTTGACAGAAGACAGATGCAATCAGTTTTTCTGACCTTTACAGATTGTGTTTTTTGTCGTTTTTTCCCAGCCTTTTCAAATAACACACAAAATGTTTAAATACACTGAGATTTGCCATAAAATAAGCAATGCTTGGCTTTTCATTTTTTTTTTAAAGAAGAAAGAAAATGTCTTAATTACAATACTCTATGCAAAAGCTTTCCTTTATTAATTGTTTTCTTCAATCAATTTTTTACTTTTTTTGTTGTTGTTGCATTTTAACAGCTTTTGTCGTTGTCATGGACAGCCATAAACTGTCACTGTGATTTGTCAATCTTCTCATGAGGGGGCGGGGCTTTATGCATAAAACTCCTTGGTTGGGGCCTTCTGATATGCTGCCCCAGACGGTTTCCTCTCTCCCAGGTCGTAGCTGCCCTCGTCCTTCTTCCTCATGCGGTAAACCAAGAGGAGGATGAGGAAGATGGCAAAGAGGAAGCCAATAACTCCGCCCGCAATGACAGCTGTGGACAGAGAGAAGGAGAGGTCAGAGGTTAGCGGTCAAAGGATATTCAGATGACACTGAAGCTTATAGCATCTAGAGAGGGAACTTTGAATGCACTGTATCCTTTCTTACGCAATCCCCCTATCAAGCTACACAACATTAGTCCCAGGACTTGTCCTTGTTTCATGCGTGCTAATTCCTTACATAGGCTTTCGTAATTTTCCCAATTATACTTGTATGAGGTTTCTTTATAGTCCTTAATCTGTTTTAGGGCTCTCGTGACGAAACAATCTCCCCTCTGCTCCAGTTTTATTTCCACATCTTGAACTGGCCCCTCTGCCCAATGGGTAAAAAGAAACCTGGCACTCTTCCAGCAAATGACCCTCCTGGAAACCGCGCAGTGCCTCAGTGTGGAGCAGATAAATGTAAATTAAATGACGGACAATTAGAGTTTGTGGGAGCCATGGGGGACAGGAAGTGGAAAAGGTATAGAGGACAGGAGGAGGTTAGCTAGCCAGGTCTGTTTGCACAGTGGGCTGGGCCTCCTGATCTCTGGGTTTTACATTGCGCTAATCCACAGTATATACAGCCTTGTCAAGGCCAGGGTTTCAGTGGATGTGGCCAACGTGACAGTAATTGAAAACAACTGAAAAAAGTAGTGTAGCTAGCAGACAGAGTTAGAAAAGTCAGGGCCTCACATGTCTACATGACAGGCGATTTGAGCAATTTTGAAATACACTAGTTAGACAAATATAAAAATCCAAATGAGCAAAGGCGACTAACTGGATGGATGTTTGTGGGATATACACTACATGACCAAAAGTCTGTGGACACCTGCTCGTCGAACATCTCATTCCAAAATCATGGGGATTAACATGGAGTTGGTCCCCCCTTTGCTGCAATAACAGCCTCCACTCTTCTGGGAAGGCTTTCCACTAGATGTTGGAACATTGCTGTGGGGACTTGCTTCCAGTCAGCCACAAGAGCATTAGTGAGGTCGGGCACTGATGTAGGGCGATTAGGCCGGGCTCGCAGTCGGCGTTCCAATTCATTCCAAAGGTGTTCGATGGAGTCACGGGTCTGGGATCTGTGCAGGCCAGTCAAGTTCTTCCACACCGATCTCGACAAACCATTTCTGTATGGACCTCGCTTTGTGCACGGGGGCATTGTCATGCTGAAACAGGACAGGGCCTTTCATAAACTGTTGCCACAAAGTTGGAAGCACAGAATTGTCTAGAATGTCATTGTATGCTGTAGCGTTAAGATTTCCCTTCACTGGAAATAAGGGGCCTAGCACGAACCATGAAAAACAGTGCCAGACCATTATTCCTCCTCCACCAAACTTTACAGTTGGCACTATGCATTCGGGCAGGTAGCGTTCTCCTGGCATCTGCCAAACCCAGATTAGTCCGTCGGACTGCCAGATGGTGAAGCGTGATTCATCACTCCAGAGAACGTGTTTCCACTGCTCCAGAGTCCAATGGCGACCACTCCAGCCGACGCTTGGCATTGCGCATGGTGATCTTATGTGTGGCTGCTCGGCCATGGAAACACATTTCATGAAGCTCCCGACAAACAGTTATTGTGCTGACGTTGCTTCCAGAGGCAGTTTGGAACTTGGTAGTGAATGTTGCAACCGAGGACAGACGATTTTTACACGCTTCAGCACTCGGCGGTCCCATTCTGTGAGCTTGTGGCCTACCACTTTGCGACTGAGCCATTGTTGCTCCTAGATGTTTCCACTTCACAATAACATCACTTACAGTTAACAGGGACAGCTCTAGCAGGGCAGACATTTGACGAACTGACTTGTTTGAAAGGTGGCATCCTATGACGGTGCCACTTTGAATGTCACTGAGCTCATCAGTATGGGCCATTCTACTGCCAATGTTTGTCTATGGAGATTGCATGGCTGTGTGCTCGATTTTATACATCTGTCAGCAACGGGTGTGGCTGAAATAGCCAAATTGACTAATTTGAAGGGGTGTCCCCATATATCTAGCCAGCTTTAGTTAGCTTCACATTCCAGCTCAGTCTTCATCCGTACTATGACTCTAGCAGGCTTGTCGTACATGGCTAGGATTTTGCCTGTGCTTAGCTCTATTCCGTTTATTTTTATCCTAAGAAACTCCCTAGTCCTTGCTGATGACAAGCATACCCATAACATGATGCAGCCACCACCATGCTTGAAAATGTGAAGAGTGGTGTGTTGGATTTTCCCCAAACATAATGCTTTTTATTCAGACAAAGTTCATTTCTTTGCAAATGTTTTTGCAGTTTTACTTTAGTGCCTTATTGCAAACAGGATGCATGTTTTAGAATATTTTTATTATTTTCACTCTGTCATTTAGGTTAGTTTTGTGGAGTAACTTTAATGTTGTTGATCCATCCTCAGTATTCTCCTATCAAAGCCATTCAACTTTGTAACTGTTTTAAAGTCACCATTGGCCTCATGGTGAAATCCCTGAGCGGTTTCCTTCCTCTCCGGCAACTGAGTTAGGAAGGACGCCTGTATCTTTGTAGTGATTGGGTGTGTTGATTCACCATCCAAAGTGTAATGAATAACTTCAGCATGCTCAAAGGGATAGTCAATCTCTTATTTTTTATGTTTATCAATCTACCAATAAGTGCCATTCTTTGTGAAGCATTGGAAAACCTCCCTTGACTTTGTGGTTGAATCTGTGTTTGAAATTCACTGCTCAACTGAGAGACGTCACAGATAATTGTATGTGTTGGTACAGAGATGAGGTAGTTATTGAAAAATCATGTTAAACACTATTATATAGTCCATGCAACTTATTATGTGACTTGTTAAGCAAATGTTTACTGCTGAACCTATTTAGGCTTGCCATAACAAAGGGGTTTAATACTTATTAATTCAAGACATTTCAGATTTTAATTTTTTATGAATTTCAAAAAGTTTCTAAAAACATAATTCCACTTTGACATTCTAGGGTATTGTGTGTAGGCCAGTGACACAACATTTCTATTTAATCTATTTTAAATTCAGGCTGTAACACAACAACATGTGGAAAAAGTCAAGGGGCTGTGAATACTTGGTCAAAAGAGCAAGATTATTAGTTATTTGTCAAACGGCAGCCAAGCATCGATCGTCATGTCACCAGAATAAGACCCTTGATATATATTGGAAAAGAGCATAAAGCTTAAGTACTTTAGGTGCATAAAAAATATTATATGGAAACCTGGTTAGTCATATAAGAAATTCGAGCTAATTTCCTATTTAACAGCTCACAACCCATATTCAACCTCTAGTCTATCACAAACAGTAGCCTAGCGTAGATGTGTAGACAGAGGTACAAGGACTGCAGCCTGTGTCCACTGTCCAAACCACCAAAACCCAGTGTTGTTTCTGTACATACCTGCCAGCACCTCTGTTCTCTGGAAGAGGTTTTCCGAGCGCACCTCGATGGGCTCCAGGGGTGAGCTGGGGGCGCTGGTGATCTGGTTGTTACGCTCGTCCTCTGTGACGGGTACTGGGGGCTGGGAGGAGAGAATGAAAGAGTTGGAGGGATACAGGTTCTGTACCAGCATAATGGCCTGGGGCCTCATTTATCAATCATGCGTAGGCACAAATCTGTGCGTAAACCATTCGTGGGATCAATTCCACGCAAAGTGTGAGATTTATCAATATGAACGTTTGCTTGAGAGTTTGCGTACATTTACGTACAACCATGACCATGTGTATGCACAGTGCCAAGTGGTGGAATAAGGGAACTGCTTGTCAAGCGTAGAATGTTGAAAATGTCATAATAAGTAATTAAATCATTTTTCAATTTCATTGTATTTCCATTGTGAATTCATGCAACATATCTTGACACGCATATATTTTGACCACATCAGTGCATTTGTTACGATAATAATCCATATAAAGTACAGTCATTTGTTAAATTAGAAGGCACGTGTGAAAGTGAAACTATTGTTGAAATACTATAAAAGACTGAGATAATAGGAAATCGAATGAGAGGCTTATCTTGCTCTGTTGGAAGATTCAGCACACGCTGCATTTTGCAGAGAGCGCGTTTTTAGAGACGTGGGATTTTTTGGGGCAGAACGTTCAGATTTGCTCGTCAGATATCGTTTCCCAAAAACAATCTTATAGGATTTTTGCAAGGATTTAAGACTTACTTTAAAAAGGCAAACACATGCCATTCCGGTGCACATCCAAGTGCTATCCACCCTTGGGTTTTTGGCAACGGGCACTTTTCAGCGGGAGCTTGCAAATCGGCATCTTACAGCCCTCAATGAGCCAATGTCTTTGATACAATCGTCAGAAAAAAAACGAACTTACAATTTCCATACACCATCGCACAACAGGTTGAAGTCAAGAAGGCTTTCTTTAACATCAATGCATTCCTAAATACGAATGGAGCAATAGACGGCAACCACATCCCCATAAAAGCACCATCCCAAAACGAGTTCTACTCTGTGAACAGAAAAGGCTTCCACTCTTAATGTGCAGGTGATAGGTTATGTGATGCGCAAAAGACGCTTCTGAATGTGGTGGCAAGGTTCATCCTGCACAACAGCAATGTTGGCCTCTACGCCTACAGGAGGGAGCTGTTGAGGATGGATGGCTTATTGGTGAATATATTTTCCATTGCTAAAGCAACTAATTGTCTTAATGGTCTTCTCTTTATAGCTATGCTTTTATTTTTACTGGTCAAGCCACAACTGAGCGAGCCAAATAAAACATTTTGGTTGTACTCAATCTCTGACACTAGCACCTCTATTTTTTGCTTAGCTTTTTTTGGTTGAGACGTTGTATTTCATGGTACGGTGTTGTATATTCCCCACAGGCTTTAAAGGGATGATTTCGATCATATATGGTTAATTAGGGGTGTTTCGAAATGCAAATAGCCAAGGTCGTATTGCTAACATCCATCCCTAGTCTCTTCAGATCCGTAATGATTGAAGGAGCTAGGGGAACGGGAATGGGACCACTATTGGCAACAGACCTGCGTCCTTTGACTTGGCTGAAGGGGTAGTGACAAAATCTAGGCCATCTCCCAATAGAGCATGGTGGGTCCAAGAGCTGATAGTGTTCCAAATTGTGAGATTATGGCTGTTGATTCAGTAATCCAGCATAATGTACCACAAACCAGAGCAACATCAGGGGTCTAGATGACTGCTTGATCCTTATACTTAGAGGAAACTCTTGGGGGGTATTATCAATGCGGCATTAGAGGGATTTGATTACATGCTATTTCAACCAGTTAAGTCTCATGACTGACGGTTTATACTCTTCATCTGTGGGCAGACTAAAGATCATAGATCAAGTGGTCTGTCTAGTAAAATGCTATAATATTAGTGTACTATTAGGGGTCTGTTACCAATGACTAATTTTTATGTATAGAATTCCAGCATTGGGGTCAGTGCATGTTCAACTGTTATTTGGGGTGGTGAATTGAAAGGCCCCCAAAGAAAATAGCAGGCAATTTTCAATCTGTTAATTGTAATTTTTTACTGAGTAAAAATTTAATATCTACCATATGGGGCAGAAAAGGACTGGTCATAGGGCATTTCGCGCAAATGTTCAATGGGCCGGTCCACCTTTAGCTTAGTGGGCCGGTCTAAATAGTCTGGTGTATGGGTTAGTTGTTATGTTCCCTCACCTCTGTTCGGACTGGCTTCCTGGGTGTTTCCCTAGGCAGGTCTTCTCTGGGTGTGGCTGTCTCCACTCTAGGAGTGAAGTCTTTGGTGGAGTCCTTGGTGGGTTCTGCTTTGGGGGCAATGTACAGCGTGCTCACAGTCACCGCCTCCTCAATCACCTCCTCACCAATGCCTGCAGAGCAAGATGAGGAGATAGCACTGTTGTACTACTTCACCAGCACTCAATTACTTTCAGTTTACTTTCAGTTGAAGATGAAGGGTGACTGTCTATGTTTGAGTCTGTATTTAAGTGAAATCAGGCTTTTCATAATCACTTTTTATAAGTACATTACATTCGAATTCATAATTCAATCACAACAGACAAGGCCACCTCCTGATATTCTAGGATGGGATCAGGTGGAGGTAAAGTGAGTCTGGTTTCCTTTTACTGGGAACAGTGTTCGCTAAAGTTATCAAAGCACTTTCTTACAGCCTTCTTTGCTTTGGCCATCTGCCTGTTGTTAAACGTTTTGTAAAAGGGGCTTCAATACCTAAGTAAGACCTCAGTTCTACAGACATGCCCATTCTGGGTGAAAGACACAGTATACAGAAGTGACTGTTTGTGTACGTATGTGTGTGTGTTTGTGTGTCTGCCAGCCTGCCTCCCTGTGCGTGTCGACCCAGTTGAAGGCTACTGTGACCAGACTCTTACCTGATCCTGACCCTGAGTTAAAGTCGTCATCATCTTCAGGGTAGTAACCCCCGGACCCTGTGTCGTCAATGAAAAGTTCATCCACTTCGGATGACGACTTGGCCGTGACCACTATCTGAAAGGGAGAACAACAGAAATATAGACTAAGTATTAGCCATTTAGACTGTCCTGAGACCACTTTTCAATGTGCGAGCCTAACATAACTTTCCTATAGTCACCACTTTTGTCTTTGAAATACTTCTAGCAGTGAACACATTTCTGGATACTACGGTCTCACCTTTGGTAGAAGGCACTGAGTTTCATTGAAAAGAGAACACCAATGTTCTTCCTACTTGACTCAAAGCCATAGTTGACACAAAAAGAGTTGCATTGGTAGTTTTAGCATTATAGTATGTTCTGCCAGGTAGGCCTATTGTTATTTGCTTTAACATTGTAGTCATGTACCTCAGAGGAGACTTGTCTAAACAAACCACGCTGGTCTATATCACAGTCTCAGAGACATAACACCACTCTCTAAACAGATGACCATTAAATTAGACGTCTAGCTCCGCCCACCATCATTGCCGGGGTAAAAGTCCATAGAAGTCTGTGTGTTTGTCTTACAGCTTAATGGAGTGGCCAATAGAGAAGCTGAAATTGAAAAATGCTGTTTGTGTGACTTGTAAAGGCATCAACCCCCTCAACCCCCTATAAAATGCTAGTTAATAAAATGTTATGTCATCCATCCTCAATTTCCTTTACACACAACTTCATACAAACTCAGTGAAATGACAGCACATTGGACAAAACATTGCCATTGCCATATGTGTGTGGGTGTGTATGCGTGTGTGGAATAGCTAGGTAAGCCCCATGGCAACCTCCATTCAACCTCCAACCAACCTCCATTCAACCTCACTCATGTCCCCTCCATACTGATGCTGCTTTAGAAAAGGGTCACAAAAGAGGGCCGACAATAAATCATCCAAGCGTTGCTATAGTGCTTGTGTGGTGGTGGTGCTAGGTGCTGATAAACCTGAAACTAAATGAACTGGGATTAGATTTTACACTCATTGCTTTTCCAGAAAAGGCCAGGGAAGAAAGAGTTTCGGAGGACATAACATAAGGGATTACTATTTTTTCGGAAGGAAGCTGTGATAAAGGTAGCAAAGGAGTAGGTTTGTGTTTGTTTGTTTGTTTGTGTGTGTGTGTGTTTGTCTGTGCAAGGTTGCCTGTTTTACTCTGCCTGCAATAGGTGAACAACAGTGTATAAAACAGCAGACTGCGGCTATTGGGGCGAGTGTGAACATAGCCTCTATATGCCTCGGGTGTGGGGGGTAAAGAGTGTGTTTGAAGGACCCTCTACCTCTCTTCAAAGAGCAGGCTAACACTCTCCGCCATCACAAAGGGGCTGGTCTGCGGTGGTGAAAGGAGAGGGGATGATAAAACAGAACAATATCTGCCTCCCCTCCAAAGGAGCAATGACTTTCCAAGAGAAAGGCATTCACGCCAGAGCTGGCTGATCAAAGGAGGAATTTGTTCAAAGCAACTTTATCGTATCCTCACTGCCTATTCTGTTTCACCAACCCCACAGTTCAGTTCACTAGCTGGTCCCACACATCACGATGCATCAGTAATAATACAATGAATGAACCAAAGGATGGAGCCCACAAATCAAGCCACAACAAAGGAACCTAATGAGATAGAGGAAATTGATGCCACACACACACATGCTCACAAGCACACACACACCTGAACGCACACACGTTCAAGCACACACACAAATGCAGACACATGCGTGTAACCACACACACACACACACACACACACAATTCAATACATCACAAATATAAAGAAAGTGACACTAAACAATGACACTGCTATAGTGTACATGACACAAAGAGCAAGCATACAGTGAATCAAATCAGATATTAATTATAGAGCGGAAATTGTCAGTAAACTCCTGCCCCTTATCAATATTTACATTTTGAACCTTCCAGGAAGACTTGCCTTTGAATCCTTATCACAAGCTGGGAGTTCAAGCCTGGAACCCCAAAACAAAGAAGCGCCATCCTCATAGAAATATAATTTCTAGAATTAGGCTAGTAGTTATATTTCTATGGCCATTCTCTCGTGTACGGAAACCCTCTTCTCCTTCCAGACAGTGTCCATTGTATTTGTTTACTTTCTTTCCACAGAAAGTGAGGGCAGACAGAGCACCGGTTCTCTTTCAGCTCGTCAACTCTGCTAGTGTAAATGGCAATTAGGCTATTACAGCCTAATCCTGTTCACCCTCTTGGTGCTCTTCACAAAACAAAGCCTACTCTACACATGATTTGACTACTACCTACTGGCATTCCTTGAACTCAAGAGATAAAGAGTTTCTTCCAATGGCATATTTTCCAAGAAGGCTATTTAAATAACTTTTTCTTTACAAAGACTAAGGCTCTAGAGTACGGAGAGACATCTGGTAATGCTTCAAGTACACACACACACACACTTTAAATACTTTATTTGAATCCACCAATCAAATTTACACAAAAAGGACCCGAACATTTCAAAGGCCCCTGTATGCATGGCACTCAAGGGTACAGAAACCACCTCCTTCTCCGAATAGCTAGGCTGCCCACAACAGCTGAAACAGAGCAGTACCTAGCCAATTGCTTTGCCCTAGTTTTTGTCAGGCCCGCAATCTGGAGGCCATGCACCGCAAGACTGTGTACGTGGCCGAGACTGCCAAATACAGTGGGGGGAAAAAGTATTTAGTCAGCCACCAATTGTGCAAGTTCTCCCACTTAAAAAGATGAGAGAGGCCTGTAATTTTCATCATAGGTACACGTCAACTATGACAGACAAAATGAGGGAAAAAAAATCCTGAAAATCACATTGTAGGATTTTTAATGAATTTATTTGCAAATTATGGTGGAAAATAAGTATTTGGTCACCTACAAACAAGCAAGATTTCTGGCTCTCACAGACCTGTAACTTCTTCTTTAAGAGGCTCCTCTGTCCTCCACTCGTTACCTGTATTAATGGCACCTGTTTGAACTTGTTATCAGTATAAAAGACACCTGTCCACAACCTCAAACAGTCACACTCCAAACTCCACTATGGCCAAGACCAAAGAGCTGTCAAAGGACACCAGAAACAAAATTGTAGACCTGCACCAGGCTGGGAAGACTGAATCTGCAATAGGTAAGCAGCTTGGTTTGAAGAAATCAACTGTGGGAGCAATTATTAGGAAATGGAAGACATACAAGACCACTGATAATCTCCTTCGAACTGGGGCTCCACGCAAGATCTCACCCCGTGGGGTCAAAATGATCACAAGAACGGTGAGCAAAAATCCCAGAACCACACGGGGGGACCTAGTGAATGACCTGCAAAGAGCTGGGACCAAAGTAACAAAGCCTACCATCAGTAACACACTACGCCGCCAGGGACTCAAATCCTGCAGTGCCAGATGTGTCCCCCTGCTTAAGCCAGTACATGTCCAGGCCCGTCTGAAGTTTGCTAGAGTGCATTTGGATGATCCAGAAGAGGATTGGGAGAATGTCATATGGTCAGATGAAACCAAAATATAACTTTTTGGTTAAAAACTCAACTCGTCGTGTTTGGAGGACAAAGAATGCTGAGTTGCATCCAAAGAACACCATACCTACTGTGAAGCATGGGGGTGGAAACATCATGCTTTGGGTCTGTTTTTCTGCAAAGGGACCAGGACGACTGATCCGTGTAAAGGAAAGAATGAATGGGGCCATGTATCGTGAGATTTTGAGTGAAATCCTCCTTCCATCAGCAAGGGCATTGAAGATGAAACGTGGCTGGGTCTTTCAGCATGACAATGATCCCAAACACACCGCCCGGGCAACGAAGGAGTGGCTTCGTAAGAAGCATTTCAAGGTCCTGGAGTGGCCTAGCCAGTCTCCAGATCTCAACCCCATAGAAAATCTTTGGAGGGAGTTGAAAGTCCGTGTTGCCCAGCGACAGCCCCAAAACATCACTGCTCTAGAGGAGATCTGCATGGAGGAATGGGCCAAAATACCAGCAACAGTGTGTGAAAACCTTGTGAAGACTTACAGAAAACGTTTGACCTGTGTCATTGCCAACAAAGGGTATATAACAAAGTATTGAGAAACTTTTGTTATTGACCAAATACTTAATTTTCCACCATAATTTGCAAATAAATTCATTAAAAATCCTACAATGTGATTTTCTGGATTCTGCATTTTGTCTGTCATAGTTGACGTGTACCTATGATGAAAATTACAGGCCTCTCTCATCTTTTTAAGTGGGAGAACTTGCACAATTGGTGGCTGACTAAATACATTTTTTTTCACCACTGTATCAGCGCAACCAGCTTGCACGTACACCCGAGGCTGTCGAAGCGTGCCACGAGGGGCTGGTATTTAAGCAGCTTCTCAGCAAAGGCCTGCTCCATGTAGCTGTCAAATGAGCAGCCCACTTCCAAAATGAGCAACTCCCCTTGGCCTCCTCCCACAACAACAATATCTGGCGTATTTGGCACACAGAAAAACACATCATCATCATCATCAACATCAAACCAGCTTCCCCTTACACAAGAATGTTTATGCATGTGTACTGTTGGTGACTACTTCACCTTGCTGGCTATCAGGTAACAAGGCGGTCATGATAATCTAGTAATGTACAAATCCTTGTATGAACAGCAGCCATTCACAACATGGGCAATGGACTCCATTACATTTGACTCATGTAGAATACAAAATGGGTCATGGTTTGCAGGGTACCAGAGTGGTAGGTTATCTTTTGTTGGTAGAACCTGCAGCCCCGCCTTAACAGTAAAGGTGAGAATGTCCTCGGCAGCATTCTGGTACATGGAATGGGAGACAGAGTGGTCAGCACAGTCCAGAGCAGCAAGTTTCCCCTGCAGCCTCAGGCCTGTCCAGTGTTGCAATAGCTGCATTCGTCTGATACCAAGGAGTGTTGTCCTGGATGTAGGATGGGATGTTCCATCATGGGTGACAGAAGCCTCCACAACAACACCGCGATCTGCCACAACTGCATCAGAGGTAGTTACTGGCTCAGTTTGCATATCAGTCCGTGTCCACCTGAGCTCCACTCCAGTCCGGTTGCACAGGTCGTTGAGGTCCGGACAGTCTGACCAGACAGCCCAGGAAGTTGTCCTCAGTGTCCCTGGCCAGTGGAACCTTCCACCCCCCTTTTCCCTTACATGTATTTATGATTTGTAAGAAGGCTATTTAAATAACTTTTTCTTTAGAAAGACAAGCACACACATATGCACACAAACAGGCTCTACCCCCCCCCCCAACCTCCAGGTATGAC